ATTCTTTGGTGTTTCTGCAGACCGCAGACTGAGTCGCCAAGCACCGGGCGCAGCCTTGAACCGATGGACCCCTGGCTTCTCACGATACAGCAACATCTTGGCGAATTCGCGGACCACAACCCGGACCTTCTATTTTGGTGTGCCGCCCGCCCGTGTAGCGACCTGCATAACCAGTCATTGCTCATAATGTGATACTTGGGACCCAAAGTCGCCATAGTTATCTGACCGAAGGGACCCAATGGTGACGGCTGCAGCCGTACCTAAACCTCCACATCGGGCGGGATGTCAGGGCAGACTACCGCCGGACACCCCGTCACCGAGGAGGGCCTGTCGGAGCGCATGACCGGCTGGTGGGGCTCCACTGCAGCGAGCGGCACATCAAACGCAGCGTCTTCTACCCGGGTCGTCTTTTTGCAGCGCGCTGGTCCGTTGGGATGCACGACGGTCACCAGGAATCATCGACAACAACGGCCGGCTTATCATCTCCAAACAGAGGCAGAGACAGAGGCAGAGGCTGAGGCAGAGGTTTCGACACACATCCGCGGTCATCGTGCGATCCACGATGGCGGTCAGTTCACCAGCGGTCTCAGAAGAACCAGAGCGGTGCGGGGGCTGGGTCATCGCTGACACGGCCCGGCGGACCACAGGTATTGGGGCGCGAGCCTTCTGCCCGCGCCGCCGCCGTCAGCATATCGATGGCTCGGCGACGCGTGCCCTCGCATACGAAACGGCCGTCATATTGGGCCACAAACCGCCAGTGTGGGGCAAGAAAAACCGACGGTGTTTGAAGCTGGAAACTGGTCTGTGACGCGGCATGGCGCTCAGCGCCACCTGCTCCGAACCAGTCACTGAAGACGTCGTGGCTTCAAAATCACGTTCCTCAAGCTTGCTCGGGCGCACGGAGGACATCACGCTTTGTTTACGCTGACTCAGCGCTGCTGCTCATAAGCACACAATCATTCTGCTTAGTTTGCCAGGTGGCGTGACGAGCTCAGGCGAAGCTGCTATTTTTGGCGAGTTCGGGTGGTCACGCGACACATATGTGATTCCTGCATGTGTGCGATGTCAAAGCCTGACTGGCGGCCCGCCCTGGGCGCTTGCGTTGGCTAAGCGCGCAATAACGCGCATCTGACCGGCAGTGGTGCCTTAACTTTGTATGCCGCCAGGCAGCCAGCACCTTCAGCCGCACACCCTCGGTGCGGTGCCGGACAAATGCCAGGGTTTAAAACTGAGAACTGGCATGAGTGGTGCGGCGAAGCAGAATCACACGACCCGCTCACACACAGGTTTGAAAACACATCTGCTATCCTTTCTCCACGAACCTCCTCATCCAGAATCCCCGCAAATCCCAGTTTATCAAGGGAAAGTTGCACGCATCAATCATGAACGGGTTGAAATGCTCTCTGACGTGAGACCCACCCGAGCTGCTGCAAAAACCTGAAGAGGGGTCCTTGCGCCGTTTAAGTGTCGGTAGCGGAGAACTCTCATGTGACCGTAGTCTTTCCCTGTAGCTTGTCATCCTCCTTCATCGCACGGCCCAAAGCCCTCTAAGACCCAAAAACGTACAAATGCACACATGTACGCAAAAAAATACTGTCTTCAGAGCAGTATTCGGTCAGAACATCGTCAACTCAATGTTTTTCATGCACTTGAATACAAATCAAGTTAGGTTTCGTTCCACCATCTGCAGAGCCATCTATCGAGGCAGTTTGGCAACATAGCCGGCGCCACTGACACCTAACGGGCATTACGGAAGCTAAGTCGAACCACACCAGAAGCACCCGTTGCTTACAACTCGATGCGAGTGGCAAACCGCGCCATGTCTGACTCAAGAATTAGCTTCAATAAACGGTGTGTCGGAAGTAAAGCTGCATGAAGAGAATCGGTAAGGCAAATTGTTACGCTGACCCTGTTTATGCCAAGGTGCGTGGTCAGCTGATGACAGTCAATATCCGCTTTCCGATCCAGCAGCCTCTCTTGTTTATGACGGCGTGTGGTCAGCGGATGGTGGGCAACATCACATCGACTCCCCGATGCAGCAGTTTCCCATCTCCAGCAGTGCATCTGGTCAGCGAAAGTAGCGCTCAGTCCAGCCAGTCCAGCTGCGAGTCAACTCCGACGGCTGCTGTGCCCTACAAAGATTCTGCGTAGCCGCAGCATGCTTCCACCGTGTATACGTCAATGACAGGTGAAACAGCGCTGATAATGGAATAAAGGCATTCTAGCATTGATTGTTACCCTAGCCTAGTATCACGGCGCCAGCATATACCATATCTTGGTGGTTATGCTATGAGCGTCCATTATTGCGATACGGAATGCCATCAAAGACGTTCTGCCTTCGGTTTTAAGTAAGCAGAACTAGTAAGGCAGGAGTGATAGCCTTATTCCTTGGCGGGAAGCCAGGAGAATGGATAGATAAATGTGTTGGTATTTTGGCTACATGCCTTCATCGAAACGAATTGCACAAGTTTTCAGAGACAGAAGCAGCAGGAGAAGCAGACGTCAGAAGTCACTTCTGCTATTCGTTTCGATAAAGGCATGTTGCCGAAATATTAACGCATCTAGATCGAAATTCTCCCGGGTTTTCTCCGAGGAAAAACTATCAGTACTGTTTATATATGTGCATAAAGTTTCTCGCAAATGCACTTAACAACTTACGTAAGCAGAACTGGACTTCACAACTTTGGATTGAATTTCACATAAATTTTCATGAAAATTTTGGATGCTCATATGTTTAGTAAGTAGTTTGTGTTACCATTTATGGGAGGTTATATGCGCCTGGCAAAGTCAGTAGCAGTATTTCGCTTGACATGGAGTCAGGTCTCGGGGCGCCGACAATGCACGTGACCTGAGCCTGTCCCAGGTCCCATGCCTGTAAGGTCTCCATCAGTGTCCTGTCATACAGTTGTTATCATGCAAACAGTCGTCCGATTGTCCAAACTTCTGACAAACCATTTTCTGCCGGCATACCACCGTTCAAAAAATTGTTAACACAAACCCGGACGTCCTCCCCAAGCCCCCGAGGCAGCTCTTGTTCTAGATCACATGCCTCCCTCCGAGTGTTCAGAGGTCCGGCGTCGAGCGCCCGATGTCAGCGTAGACCCCCCCCCCCCCCCCTCCCCGTGGCTGCCGGCGACTGGTCAGCCAGGAGAGAGCTGGCGACAGGCTGCCGGCTTACCTGGAAGTGCAGGATGATGGTCCAGATGAGGCCCAGCGTCAGCTTGGGGTTGCCGTCAACGATGTCCTCGGCTCGGATGTTGACCAGCTTTATCTGAAGGGTGCGGACAGCAAGATGAGACGTGATGTAGTAATGGCGGACATGGAACGGAGGCACGTGAGGCCTTTCGGGTTACGGGGTGAGCTACGATCGGCCAGCCAGCTCGATAGCAGGATCACAAAAGACAAATATGCACCAAGTGGGGAAAGTGTCGGCAAGCACCAACGGACACACCACAATCGCCAAAAAGTAATAAAAAAGAAAAGACTCAGCCAAACTCTAACGGAATATCTGTGATGCCGAAAGATGATGCAAGCATATGGCATCGCATCGTGGCTGTGCTGCGATGCGCTTTCCAAGAGTCGCACTTTGATTTGTATGGTGAGTCGGACGCATCAGTTCTCAGTGACCATGACGTCACATCAGCAGACAATACATCCAGACAGAAAGGATCAAAACGGGCCTTTTCCGGATCTGATCATCGACTACAGTTTGGAACCGCATTGACTGCTTCGTGCGCTCTCCCATGAGCTTTAAATTCGTATCTAGATCCAAGATCACCCTCACCTAGATCGTCTCAATCTACATACGAAAGCGGTCCGCTGTTTACCCTCAGGGAACACTTTGCTCCGCATTTCGCCGCAACCCGCTACCAGTGTTAACATGCAGTTCATGACACACAACACTTTCATCTAAAAGGAATGCATGCTTAATCGATTACGAACACAAGTCACGCATCGCGGAGCAATTGGGTATTCTTCACAGGCAGTCCGGTAGCAGGTCTTTGGACCTGACCGGGTTCTTTTGAGAGCTCTGGCTTGATAAGGACGCGGAGCTGTGATAAGGTCAAGGTCGAGATGGAGCGACGTGAGAACAGGGCAACTTCACATTACCAAGATGCGAGAAATCCGCAGCAAACACGCTCGGTAGCAATGCAGTTATTTTTAACAAATAAAAATGCGTGCACGCCAACATCCTCTCGTGGAAAAATCCCACCGCGACCGGCAAAATGCACTACATCGATTGATGGTATGCAATCAACAAAAAATATATCGCACGACACGGAAATACCCAAACTCAAAACAAACACAAAGGACACGCAAAAGTGGTAGCAGCTGCAATCGAAGTCACGCCCACCAATCGCACTTACTATAAACAACCGTGAGGCGTCCTATGCCTCCGCGATGACGTCACACCGGCCCTTGGAAGCAGATGGCAAAAGTGGTGGGCACCATAAGCATTCCGTCCGCAAAGACGATTACTCAGCGAGTCTGGCCCGTCCGGCTGCGACCAGCTGGTGGTGAGGCGCGCCGTGCGGCCAGCTCCTCCCCCCGCCCCCTGGTGGCCGCTGATCTCACACCGCATGCCTTTCCGGATAAGATGGGCTCGTCAACGAGTGGCCATGTTGGGTGAGGCTTGGCGTGTTAAACGCGTGGAATGCGTGGAACATGCATGAGGAATACTTGGGACTAGTTCTCTCACGGTGGCACACGGAAAACAGTGACATCTGTTGACGTTCGCAATCATTGCTGGACACACCGTATCACACGAAATGAGGGCAGATGAAAGATAACTGCTGTCGGTTATCTTTGGAGAGTTAAATCAATGAGCATAGGTTTTAGGATTCAAGGACTACCCTCATGCGACGGGGCCACAAGCCTTACTTTCATCCGGCGGACAAACTTCTACTCTACTGACATAGGGTCCGCAGATCTGGCGAAATGAAGACTGTCGAGAACAGGCTCGTGCGGCGGCCAGATGTGCACTGATGGCGTCGAGTCGTTAACCTAGGGACCGGTCCTGATTCTTCGATTTCAACGCAACTGACGTCTTGGGCCGACACAGCGACCGAAGACGTCAGTTGGACGCGGCGGCTTCTGACAGATGTGACGTCTCTCAGTGACAGTCAGACATCCTCGGAATATTGATACAGGGCGGCGGCATCCTTTCAAACCTGATGCCTCTTAATTCCAAAAGTCAGGGAAGCGGTACAGGCGTTCAAGTTCCGCATACAGGGACGGGTCCGTGGAGTACACGTGAACCACCGAGCTCAGTTAACAATGACGTCCGTAAAGATAACTATCTTCTCGCAGGCTGAATGACAGTTTCCACCGAGGCATGTCACCATGTTGCAGCCTCAATGGACGTAATTCACTCAGCTTAGCAAACATTTCCGCGCTACTTGCAGGCAATCCTGTAGGCGACAAGATCAATCCTGACAAATATTTTCTATTCCCGCAAAGATGGTGCAGCGCCACTCTTCAGTTTGCCGCAAGGGAAGCCACAAAATATTTCAGTGCAACGCGACGCAGCACACATCACCAAGGCGTTGTGGGAAAGTGTATTCGGTAGTTGATCCCTCGTCCTGTCACTGGGCTCGAGTTCAACTCACCTTTCGGTACCGAAGGAAATCCAGCGCGACTTGCACATTCTGAATCTGGTGGAAGCGAAGCTGTCCTTTTTGTGACGGCTGAAAAAAACGAAAGAAGTTTTAATGCGCATGTGGGTCAGCTAAAAACTGAACCTTTATATCGACGCGCCTTAACTCCGCCATGGTTCAAGGATTGCCAGGGTCACATGTTATTGTGCGATTCACGCACGGATAAAAGCGTAGATGATGGACGACAATGCAACTGGCAATACAGCCACATTAGCAAGAGACAGAAAGAAATGCTAGCTTTGCATTCTGGAGGCAGTACCGTTGCTGGGCCATCGCACGATAGCGCTCGCTCTGATCCGCCGTTTTTCATAGCGCTGACTGAGAGGGGAGGGGTGGGGGTGGGGGTGGGGGGATCGGTACGACTCCCCCAGGTGTTTTCAACCTAATAAGGATAGAGGTTAGCGGAAAATACCAATAGCTTGTTCTCAACGAGACCTCGCCATTGGTACAAGTTTTCATGTTAGGCTCACATTATGCCAGGTCAAAGGTCAATGTTTTCAGAAAATCTCACCTTCAGCTTTACAACAGCCTTCATGCGAGACCATGACTTGCGACGACAAGAAACCTAAATAAGCGTATTTCGTGTAAAATTCTTAGTACAATGGTGCACACTTTTATGTGTTCTGAGCATATCTTTACGCTATATGGCTCCGTTAATGTAACCATGCCGGCGCGCGTTCCTCGGCATCGTCGGTTTCCGCCCGCCGCCGGCGCCGGCCGTAGGTCACCGTACAGTGTTCCTCAAAAAACTTCCACTGCTCCGAGCTAGAAAGCTAGGGACACGCTCTTGATGTCAAAACACGTGCAACTGGTGCCGCATAGGCTACTGAAAACCGCAGCGCGATTGAACATGATGAAGGAGCACCCTCAACACACTGAAGGGGGCTCGCATCGAACCCCACAACTGTGACAGGGTGTTCCATTGGCTTGATGCGCGGAACAACAGAGACGATGAATTGTGGGTGATCGTCCAGAAAAGACATTTGGTTCATAACAGATGACGAACTTCGCATTAATCTTACTCGCGTATAAGCATGTGTGTGAAACATGCAGTTCCACATTAGAATCTGACAACACCTGCTCGAGATTTGGTCGTACAAAAACACACGGAAATAGTGCATGAAAAAGTTGACAACATCCACATGCCTGAGCGCAAGAAGTTTGCAAAGGACATCAGGCAGATGTCCGCTGTCAAACGCCACTGACACAAAAAGCGCACTGAAGTGAGCTGATCGCCTCCGTGAGCGAGCGACGAACGTCCGTGAGCGTCTTGTCACGCAGCAGCCCCGTTACCCTGAGCCGGACGCCGTACGGCACGAATGCCGAGCGTCTCGTCAGCAGTGGCACGCCGCAGCCGGCGGCCAGCGTCAAGCCGACTCTGTTTACTCGAAAGATGCGTGCGGAATGTTTGTACAGGTCAGGCCCGCTACAGAATCCCAACAATTCACGGGACCGTTCGCACTTGAGCGGCACGCCGGCGCTCCACTGCCCCTGCTGGTCCACTGCGCGCGGTGCTGGACGGCGCAGGGCGGTGCGGTGACGACGTGAACTCGGACCAGGAGAGGTGACCATGACGACGAAGCCGCTAACCCCGTGGCCAGAAGTTGGCCGGGTCGCATGCTTAAGTGTCTCGGTGCTAATGTATCGCTGGCAGGCCGTTATTTCGACACTCACCACCGGCCGCCGCTCGGCGTACGATTGAAGCGCCGACTTTCGACGCAGATGAGCATGCCGACATTGTCTCTTTTGTAGAACAGCCTCAGGGTTTTGCAACGGCAAGAACATGCTACACGCCTGGCCGAAGACTGGGCTTATGGCCACGGTGAATCAGGGACATTAACTGCGATTCTCCAAGGTGTCTGCGGGCATCACACTCATAACAGTTGTAAAGAGGAGGTGTTCACACCTCCAACCCGCACCTCCCCATCTCCATGACGCACGTAGGGCAGATGCCCCAGGTTGACCACGTCAGAGGTGCCTGAGACCGTCTACCCCCAGATTGAGCCGTGCCAGGTGAGCAGACCGTCTGCCCCAGGCCGACCGTGACAAACATAAAGAGACCATCTGCCTCAGGTACTCTGTGCCAGGTGTGTGTAGACCATCTGCTCCCGGTGGTTCATGCCAGAAGTGTGAAGCCCCTCTGCTCCAGGTGCGCCATGACTGAGATGTGCAGTCCGACTGCCTGTCTCGGGGTTGTGACAGACGTGTGCAGACCATCCGGCCAGGTGAACCGCGGGAGACGTGTTGAGATGGTGTGCCCAGGTCATCAAGTGACGTGCACACACATCCTCCCCAGGCGAACCGCGGGAGACGTGTTGAGATGGTGTGTCCAGGTCGGCCCGTGACGTGCACACATCATCCGCCCCAGGTGAACCGCGAGAGACGTGTTGAGATGGTGTGCCCAGGTCATCAAGTGACGTGCACACCCCATCCGCCCCAGGTGAACCGCGGGAGACGTGTTGAGATGGTGTGTCCAGGTCGGCCCGTGACGTGCACGCACATCCGCCACAGGCGAAGCCGCGGGAGACGTGTTGAGATGGTGTGCCCAGGTCAGCCAGTGACGTGCACACCCCATCCGCCCCAGGTGAACCACGGGAGACGTGTTGAGATGGTGTGCCCCGGTGGGGGCTGACAGATGCGGCTCACCAGTCGCTCGCCGGACAGCACCTCCAGCAGGCCCAGCAGGCTCTTGCCGTCCCGCAGGTCGAAGAAGAGGTCCCGCACGGAGCGGTTACACTGCAACACAGGGCGGCCCGTCAGTCGTGGCTGCAGAGACGTTAGAGAGGCTGACGGGGTCGAAGGATGCAACTGACACACACACGCACACGCGCACGCACACACGCACATGCACACGCACACGGCTGACCACCGTACACGTGAAAAGACAGAGACGGCCTAATGCGGGGACGGCTGGACAGGCATCCGACAGACATTAGCGAACGACTAGGCATCAGTGAAGGATAAAACGAGACGTAACACGTCCAACATGCATTGTCCAGTAATAGCGCGCAGCAGGGGAAGCGGCTGACAACATTCGAATGGCCTTTAGTCCGATTGCATTGGCTCACAAACGACTCCGACGAGCACGAATAGCCGGCCCATCGCCACAGGGTCGCCACATCTGTCGCAACGCCGCGCCACCGGCAGGGTGCACGCACAGCGGGCCGCGCTGGCGCGGGCCGCCGCGCCACGCTCCAGAGGCTGCACAATGGGACACGACGCCCGTGGTCGGAGACACGTGCGCCGCTGCAGCGTGACCGCGCGCCACGTGCCGGCGCCCAACGACGGTGAATGGAGCCGGGAGGGGGGGGGGGGGGGTAGGGTGGGGCGGCGCTGGCTGAGGGCGGCGCAGGGCTCTGTCGGACCGCCGAGGGATGTGGGTGCAGGAACCCGGCGACGGTAGAGTCAGAGCTCGTGGGGCTTGTCGGGACGTGGTACGTGGGACTTACGGAAGTCGCATGCGATGTGGCTGATGAGTGTGCCAAGGCTGCCGCCGTGAGACTGATAAGTGGGCATATCGCACGGTTTATGAAGGGGTCGTAAAGGAAACGGGGAAACCTAGCAAACCAAGCATACTCAAGAGACTTCGGATTGTCCCCTGGAACCACGCAGAATCTTTATATAGGCCTTGCAGGTGGTCTACTTAAGGCAGTAGGAAAGCACAACACACAGAAGCCGTTCAGAAGCCGCGCTTGTTTATTATAACTAGCCGCACATGAGCCCGTCTGACGGTTCAACAGAGGGGCTAGCTGTCATAAGCCGCGCGTGAGTTCGTCTCATGGCTCCCTGCCACTAAACAAAACCGTCTGATCGCCAGATGATAACGCATTTACATACCATCCGCACCATACAATCGGGCTTAATGACACGGATGAACCAACCATCGTCCAAGATAAACCCCTAACGTTCCTACTCTAGCCTTGCACACTGCCAGGCTATAGGACATGAATCGGTCAATGGGCTGCCTGAATGGACATATCAAGGTCCGATCTCTGCATACGAAGGCGTGCCTTATCTAGTGGAATCAGGTTGATGCTTGGACCCCACGGGATAGGAGGCAGGGCGGCCAGACCAGAGTACTGAGCTGTTCCTAACGCTGTGTGCTCAGCGCTCCTCGGAGAAGTGACGATTAATAGCTATGCGATGTCCCTACCGGTCAATACCCAACTTCAGAGTTTGCCAATGCAGCTAAGTACACAAATTAGACCCAGATACAGAAAACGGTCTCTCCGGTGCGGTTCCTGGGCGCGCCTGTGTTTTAAGGCGGCTATCTCGGTGCGCATCACGTGCGTCATGGCGTGTGCACGTATATGTATCCTGCCAAGGACACAGTGTGCACGCAC